TTCCAGTGTTACTTCTGTGCATCCTTTGCTTTTAAGTTTCTCAAATATACAGATTCATTTGCTTGGTCATTTCTATTATTTTTGACGAACACGCATGCGATAATCTCTTTTGGTTGTTGCATGCAATTAATATTAAGTGAAAGATATCGCTCAGGTATCGTAAAATGACAAACAGCATACGCCAATTCATTTTTATTTAATACAGAACTTGTTGATGTATTTATATTGTTGGAATAACATCTGCGAATTAATTCTTAAACAGCTGTTTGTCCAGTAGAATTGCTGCCAATGATAAAATTTGTACCTTCTTCAAAAACAAGTCTCTGTTCCTGATTAAAAAGAACAAAATTGTGAAATGCGATAGATCGTATCATGGCTTATAATTGTTTTCACAGGCTGCAATTTAAAACAATTTCATTTTGTTTATGTTAACAAACTGTAACTATCAATTCATATAACACGAACACACATTTCGAATAATTAAATCATTAGATTTTTCAAAATTTGTGTTTTTGGATTAATGTCGCTTTAGCGTATACCACCATCTCTTCTTTTATTCAGTGGGGTCAGAAATGACAACTGTCTCTTAATATGACATGAAAATATATGAAGCGTTGATGAGCTGTGCTCTTGTTTTCGTTTTTTATCCATATCTTAACACGTTTGGTTAAATATTCTCTTTATACAATAAATAACTTTAAAAGAGAGGGGCGAGAGATACTAGAGAGACATTCAAACTCATAAATCGAAAATAAACTGACAACGCCATGGCTAAAAAAAAAAAGACAAACAGGCAAACAATAGTACACAAAAACACAACATAAAAAACTAAAGACTAAGCAAAACGAATCCCACCAAAAACTGGAGTCGATTTTTTGTCGATTATGACAAATGAAACAGTGTGTGGTTCTATAAATACTTAACTGTTATATAAAACAGTCCTTGATTTTACGGAATGCATTACATATTCAGAAACTTTTTGGGAGGTATTGTGGTTTTTTTCTTAAATTGGTGACAAAGAAAAAAGAAACTGTCTACGCCAAACACAGATGGACATTTATATTGCCAAACAGTATTGAAAAATATAAAATCAGCATTGTTTCCCCCAAAAATGTATGATTTTAAATAGAAATGCTTGTTCGGAGAGAAAAAAACATGTCAACGTAATATATTGTGTTTTCATAAAATTGAAGAGTCTAAAACTAACTAGTTGTATGTATGTCTAGGCAAAAACTGATGCTCTTTAAAAAGCAGAGATGATAACAAAATTTATAGATAAACATATATATTGTTGTTCGTTCTTGAAAATCTTTGAAGAAAAAAAATAGTCGAAAGAACGGCATTAATCAATGCACAAATTGATATGACAAGATCGTCTCAAATTTAATTTAACTATTGTCAACTCGCTAATCTTGTTTATACAGTGTATACTATTAAATGGTAACAATATTGTGTTTTGTCTATAAAACAAATGTTTCCTACCACTCTTTCGTTGCCCTAAACTTGTCGCGATTTTGTTATATTTTGTAGATTTTGATTGTTATATTTCTCCTTTGGCGCACTCAGTTTATGATTTTTTTACTTTAATTTTTCGATAATGTCAAACCCGTCGAGCAATATTTGTTGGTAATTGGAACACATACCTTTTCTAACGAAACAGTCTATAGACCTGTAACATCTGAAGTTTGGTATATATCCTTTATTTACCGCAGTCTACAGATAATCCTGGAACTAGAATCATTAACCTATTCTTTATAGGATCGTGCAATGTCTATATTTAAAGATTTAAATCAGGCGCATATATGCTTTTGTAAACGGTTTTATAATAAAATTACCTAAATCTTATATTTGATTTTTAACCAAAATTTGAAATTAACCCAATTAGAAATATAGAAGGTCGACCATATATATTTTTTATGAAGTAAATAAACATTAAAGAATATATCACAACTCTTTTTCAAATGAAATTACTTATATTCCCCTTTTAAGATTTATAGTACATACCTTTTCCATGCACCAAGTAACTATGCAAGTAAGAACTATCAACGTATATTTGTTACTCCAAGCAACAGTTAATGTGTAAACTTTGTTATAAACAATGCCATACTATCATATTATCTGATCCTTTTGGAACAATTATCCAATAGCCTCTATTCTGTTAGGAACTAATACTGTAATATTTTTTTCTTGTGGAAATACTATTACGTAATATTTGGAACAAATATAATAATGGAACTTCTATTCGATGAGAGATGATACGGGTTAGTTCAAATTCTATTATAATCTAAGTATTGTTTACGAAACAATGAGTTCTATAACTATATAATAAAATATCCCAAATTTCAATAGTCTATTTGATAATTTTTTTTAAAATATATCTTTATGATGAATTAATAATTAAAGATTTTGACAAAGGGTTTTAAATAAGTTACACAAAAAAGCAGATAAAAGCTATCGAACAGTGTTTTATAAATTAAAACATAACTCAATTTATTATTGCTATTCAGCTATAAACATTTATGGTCCCACATTATGTCGTTACTTATATTTTTGCTTTGCACAATATCATGTTTTTCTGTGACAGTTTATGACATCTATTCCCTCAATCTATTAGATGTGTACTGATTGACATTGTTATTAGCTTTAAAATAGTTTTCACTAGCAGGGAGTTCATGTTTTAACATGTTTAACCCCGCCGCATTCTGTATATGCCTGTGTCAAGTCTGGAACCTATAATATAGTGGTTGTCGTTTGTTGCTGTATATGGAACACATGGAAGTTCATACCTAAACATGCCCAATGGTATGGTGGTTTTGGGGAAAGAATGGTTGGACTCACCTAGATTTGCCTGACAAAAGATTCTTGGACGTGCATATATAGATAATCCGCTGTTACAGACACTAGTTGTGAAAATTGAAGCAAACTAAGCAACAGACCGCTTACCTATATATCGTCGAACATGGTGATCCAGAGCCGCTTACGTATGGAAGGCAGATTAAATCTTTCCCGTATCCGTTACATAAAGACGGTTGAGACTTTTATAGTGCCGTTATAACAACAACCATGAAAATTTAAATGATCAAGTGAAAAGGAGATTCCTTCTTATTGAACAATTCTTAGCATGATAGAAACACGAATATTTGACATTCCTTACGTGAATTTCACCGAGTGTCGGAAAATAACAATTCAACTGTGAAACTAGGAGATGTAGTGGTTACTCTGTATTGCAATGTCGCTAACGTAATACAAATATACATCTTACAACTTTTGTTTCCTTCACAAAAGGGATCACTGGCTATACCGATACTAACAATTTAATGTTATCCTCCGAATGTGTGAGTGTTAATTAGCTCGTATGGTGTTAGTTTTGGTAAATTGCTTTTCATAATGGCCGGCGTGGTCATTCAAATCAATGTTTGTTTCTTGTCATTTTGCTTTGAACGATAGTTATTGTATTTACTTGTCAATCATCGTACAGTGCAAATTTTAAATAAGACGATCGATATCTTCTGTAACACCCAAAAAGCTGAACACGAATTGCATCGCAACTTTCGTGGATATTCGTTAACAAAGTGTTAAATTTTGGTTGCGACGCTCAAGTCTGATGTCTTTCATTTTTATGTGAGGTCTTTAAGGGAGGTAAACCTTCTTTTGTATCCAATTCCGTTCTTAGTTTAAACTGTATACTTGTCAGGAAGATACATTAGCGTATTATCAAGCATGTCAATGTGGAAAAGGTAAAACGATATTATGAGAAAATCCAAAACATGTTAAACAAACAACAGCGTGACTTACAGGAAAAAAGAAGAATAGACAAACATCTGCACAACAGAATATATAGAAACGAAAAATTGATTAAGACGACCGCAACTAAAAAATTGAGTTTTTGAAGGTTGAAAAATCCATGTTCCAGTAGTGTTGGTCAAGAAAATGCATTGTCTATTGTCGATTTTCACATAATAGTTTCAATATCAGTCATGCTTAATAACTGTATATGTGATATCTAGTACCATTTTAATTGAAGCTTAATGGGATAGATTAGTACTATTTATACATCAAACTAAAATATTCAATGAGAAGACATCATCTTATAGCAGAACATGACGTTAACGATGATGCTAGTATCTTTTCATTTTTCCTGTGTGAAGTCTGTCTAAAACAATATACGAAAATGAGCACATCTGGCTCCCATTAGATTGCTGACTTTCTGTTGAAAAAACGTTTTAACATATGCTTCTAATGTGTTGTTATTGTAATATAAAGCAACTTTATGATATCTGACCATTTCTTTCATTGTATTTTTTTTATTTTACGATGAGCAATACACATTTTCGTTTCCTTTATGGTGATGGTCTATTGAAGTAAACTGCTAAGTTATTTTTTATAAAATGTTAACTAAGATTTACACTAATAACAAGAAATTGATGGTTTTATTATTAAAAATTAAATTGGTCAAACATTTACTTATTATTATTATATTATTATATAGATTTTTATTGTAGAAGGGTACGAATTATATAAAATATCACACCTAGCTTTTTCGATTGCTGTTATTGGTAATGATTGCATACCTTCAGTAGTCACAACTTTCCTTATTGGTTTGATTTAGAGGTTGACATGACAAATAAACGCTTGTTAATTTTTTTGTGATTTTTTAATGATGTTTGCTATGAATCTTAATTCAACACTGTAAGGGTCAACCTGTACTTTCCGAATAAGAATGCCACACACTATAACCACTATCAATTATAGAAAGATGATGGTCCAATAGAACTTGCAACTTATCAACCAAAAACAAAAACAAAAATAAAAAGTGAAGTAAATAAACATAAATAAGGGATTTGTGGAATCAATACTCGAGTGCCTGGTTTAAATAGTCAAGAGTTCTTGAATAGTCAGATATCAGAAATACAAAGTGTAACAGTTCGTCGTGTACAATTTCTTTCTTAATGTGTTTTCTCTTTTATTAATCTCATTTCACCTAAGTGATTAATAGTAAGCAATAGAAATTGTTTATTTAAATCAAAAATTAGTTTAGAATATAGCAAAGTGATTTTGTCTTATGAAATTGTAGGATATGATGTTTCATAATTGTGAAAAAAATGAATGTAAATCATTTTCTTAGTAAGGGATTATCCTATTGTTTAGGCCTACTTACATAGTTCAAAACAAAGAATTTCTAATAAATGAGTTACAACTGCACAGAAGGACATTTATTAGCTAGAAAGGAAATATAATTTCTACAGAGTAATAGTTGAATTAAATTTGAAACAAAATTCGTTCATGTTTACTGGTGCATTAGAATTGGTACCGTAAATCTTATCATGTGAATATTAATAACTTCAATATTGCAAAAACAAAATAAACTCATCAGTGACGCTCGATTCAAAAACAAACTCGAAATTTTGAGTTCTCAATGCTCTTCAACTTGTACTTTATTTGGCCTTTTAAACTGTTTTGATTTCAGTGTCACTGATGAGTCTTTTGTAGACAAAACGCGCGTTTGGCTTAAAAAATGTTATTCCTGATATCTATGATGAGTTTATTTACTTGTTTTATTCATATGAAAATGTATGATACTATTATCAGGGCACAGGTGTTATAATAACGTTAACGCCTGTGTGACTTTATAAACAACATTATTATTAACTGTTCATATTGCCGATGCCGCCATTGCCGGGAACAGTACTCCTAAATCTCGCTATAGCGACTTTCGTCACAGGCATGACAAAAAATGATTAAACCTTATTCATTATAAATTCTGATGAAAAACTACCCCATAAAAAGAGATGAATTGTTTAATCTATACTCATGGTGTTGAATTCTTGTGTCTGGCCTGTATGAATGCCTGTAGCATCATTGGTCGAAGAACTTCCTGATGGATTCTGTTCTTCAATGTCAATTTTCTGCGAAGATTGCACGGAAGATGCATCAAACTCAGGAATTTCTGTTTCGCTGAGTTTTCTTTTTGCACCTTTCTTACTTGTTTCTTCTTTTAAAAAGGCAATGAATTCTTTTACCTCTTTAGACTTGTGTATCATTTCATTTGCAACTATTTCGATATCCTCAGAATCGGCATCAGGAATTTTCTTCTTCAATCGATTCTTTATGACATCTTTTGTGTGGTTTATCCTTTTCTGTATTTCATTCTTATCTTTATTTAATTTTTCCATTTCTCCTGATTAACTGGTATTACATTTTTCTTCTAGATTTTTATATGTAATGGCTGAAATTCTTCCTTCCAAATCGTTCATTTGTTTTCGATATTGTAAATAGTTGTCTATAATATTATACTTCTCGTCTCCCTCCTGTAAATCCATACGAAATATTTTAATTACTGCTTTGATTACCGAATCTTCCTGACAGTTATCAAGAATATCAATAAATCTTTGTTCAAGATCACCATTTTTCCAATAAAAAGTACATTCGCCTTTGCTTTCATCTTCATCTTTATTAGCCAAACATGTGCTTCCTTTGACGTCGTTATCAAACAAAATGTATATTTCTTTTTTCATCTTTTTGCAGAATTCTTTCTTTTTGGGCCCGTTACCCGAACCTGACAATTCACGAATATCAGTTGCAAGAAGAAAATGTTTTTGTTTCATCGAAATCCTTTTGTCTCCAGAAATTTTGTCATCGTGAATTAGCAAACGAAACATAGCCTCTACTACTATTTTGTCAGTTTTACCTTCAACGAAAAGAATTCGAGAGGAAAAAAGGAGATTTTTCATTTCTTCGGAACGATCACTTTCCCACAACTTAACGTATCCTTTTGGAACTTTGCAGATTGAATGACAGATGGTTGCATTCAAAATGGATTTTGACGATACAAATGTTCTTGACATGGCCCATTTATCGATCAACGAAGGATTGTGGGTAATTATCAAGACTGTTTTCCCTTTAATACCCCTAAGAATTAAATCACGCATTTTCTTGATCATGTGCGGATGCATACCTCGATCTGGTTCCTCAAAAGTTATTGTTGAATACTCTTTGTGTGAAAGAATAAGTGTTAACTGCTTGGCTTCTAGTATGCCTTCTGGTGTTTTCAAAAGTGGATTTGGTGGCAAATCTAGTCTATCAGAATTACTAACTGAAATGTTTCGTTTTAGTTTCTTGAATTGGTAAGGATATACAATATGTTCAGAAAAGTTGATCTCTTGTTTTTCATCAACCATTTCATCATCTAGAAGATGCAATAAAATTTCTGCGCGTTTGCAAGCTTTTTTATAGTTTCTTTTTCTATGCTTTTGTTTGTTATACTTGCTGTTTGTCCACTGAAGTGGACCATTTGATCGCATTGGCAATATTCCAACATAACCTCTTTCTAGCCAATCGTAAAGTGTATTCATGGTTTTCAATGCTTCTTTAGAAGTAGATTCAAACTCTTTTGTAATCATGATAAAGAAGTTACGTATTTCATCGTTTTTGCTGCCACTATCTTCTACATTTTCATCTTTTGTGCTGCCACTATCAGTTACTTTTTCTATAACAGCTTTTTCCAGTGTTACTTCTGTGCATCCTTTGCTTTTAAGTTTCTCTGTTCTGCAACCATAATTTCCTAGAAATTTATGTACGAAGGTCTGAAAGGAATGCCCATTGGATGCTGAGGAGATAACTTTGTAATATACAAATCCATTTGCTTGGTCATTTCTATTATTTTTGACGAACACGCATGCGATAATCTCTTTTGGTTGTTGCATGCAACTAATATTAAGTGAAGGATATCGCTCAGGTATCGTAAAATGACAAACAGCATACGCCAATTCATTTTTATTTAATACAGAACTTGTTGATGTATTTATATTGTTGGAATAACATCTGCGAATTAATTCTAAAACAGCTGTTTTTCCAGTAGAATTGCTGCCAATGATAAAATTTGTACCCTCTTCAAAAACAAGTCTCTGTTCCTGATTGAAATGAACAAAATTGTGAAATGCGATAGATCGTATCATGGCTTATAATTGTTTTTGTTACAGGCTGCAATTTAAAACAATTTCATTTTGTTTATGTTAACAAACTGTAACTATCAATTCATATAATATAACACGAACACACATTTCGAATATTTAAATCACTAGATTTTTTCAAAATTTGTGTTTTTGGATTAATGTCGCTTTAGCGTATACCACCATCTCTTCTTTTATTCAGTGGGGTCAGAAATGACAGTTGTCTCTTAATATGACATGAAAATATATGAAGCGTTGATGAGCTGTGCTCTTGTTTTCGTTTTTTATCCATATCTTAACACGTTTGGTTAAATATTCTCTTTATATAATAAATAACTTTAAAAGAGAGGGGCGAGAGATACCAGAGAGACATTCAAACTCATAAATCGAAAATAAACTGACAACGCCATGGCTAAAAAAGAAAAAGACAAACAGACAAACAATAGTACACAAAAACACAACATAAAAAACTAAAGACTAAGCAAAACGAACCCCACCAAAAACTGGAGTCGATTTTTTGTCGATTATGACAAATGAAACAGTGTGTGGTTCTATAAATACTTAACTGTTATATAAAACAGTCCTTGATTTTACGGAATGCATTACATATTCAGAAACTTTTTGGGAGGTATTGTGGTTTTTTTCTTAAATTGATGACAAAGAAAAAAGAAACTGTCTCCGCCAAACACAGAGGAACATTTATATTGCCGAACATTATTGAAAAATATAAAATAAGCATTGTTTTCCCCAAAAATGTATGATTTTAAATAGAAATGCTTGTTCGGAGAAAAAAAAACATGTCAACGTAATATATTGTGTTTTCATAATTGAAGAGTCTGAAACTAACTAGTTGTATGTATGTCTAGGCAAAAACTGATGCTCTTTAAAAAGCAGAGATGATAACAAAATTTATAGATAAACATATATATTGTTGTTCGGTCTTGAAAATCTTTGAAGAAAAAAAATAGTCGAAAGAACGGCATTAATCAATGCACAAATTGATATGACAAGATCGTCTCAAATTTAATTTAACTATTGTCAACTCGCTAATCTTGTTTATACAGTGTATACTATCAAATTGTAACAATATTGTGTTTTGTCTATAAAACAAATGTTTCCTACCACTCTTTCGTTGCCCTAAACTTGTCGCGATTTTGTTATATTTTGTAGATTTTGATTGTTATATTTCTCCTTTGTCAAACCCGTCGAGCAATATTTGTTGGTAATTGGAACACATACATTTTCTAACGAAACAGTCTATAGACCTGTAACATCTGAAGTTTTGTATATATCCTTTATTTACCGCAGTCTACAGATTATCCAGGAACTAGAATCATTAACCTATTCTTTATAGGATCGTGCAATGTCTATATTTAAAGATTTAAATCAGACGCATATATGCTTTTGTAAACGGTTTTATAATAAAATTACCTAAATCTTATATTTGATTTTTAACCAAAATTTTAAATTAACCCAATTAGAAATATAGAAGGTCGACCATATATATTTTTTATGAAGTAAATAAACATTAAAGAATATACCACAACTCTTTTTCAAATGAAATTACTTATATTCCCCTTTTAAGATTTATAGTACATACCTTTTCCATGCACCAAGTAACTATGCAAGTAAGAACTATCAACGTATATTTGTTACTCCAAGCAACAGTTAATGTGTAAACTTTGTTATAAACAATGCCATACTATCATATTATCTGATCCTTTTGGAACAAATATTCAATAGCCTTTATTCTCTTAGGAACTAATACTGTAATATTTTTTTCTTGTGGAAATACTATTACGTAATATTTGGAACAAATATAATAAAGGAACTTCTATTTGATGAGAGATGATACGGGTTAGTTTAAATTCTATTATAATCTAAGTATTGTTTACGAAACAATGAGTTCTATAACTATATAATAAAATATCCCAAATTTCAATAGTCTATTTGATAATTTTAAAAAAAATTTATATCTTTATGATGAATTAATAATTAAAGATTTTGACAAAGGGTTTTAAATAAGTTACACAAAAAGCAGATAAAAGCTATCGAACAGTGTTTTATAAATTAAAACATAACTAAATTTATTATTGCTATTCAGCTATAAACATTTATGGTCCCACATTATGTCGTTACTTATATTTTTGCTTTGCACAATATCATGTTTTTCTGTGACAGTTTATGACATCTATTCCCTCAATCTGTTAGATGTGTACTGATTGACATTGTTATTAGCTTTAAAATAGTTTTCACTAGCAGGGAGTTCATGTTTTAACATGTTTAACCCCCCGCATTCTGTATATGCCTGTGTCAAGTCTGGAACCTATAATATAGTGGTTGTCGTTTGTTGCTGTATATGGAACACATGGAAGTTCATACCTAAACATGCCCAATGGTATGGTGGTTTTGGGGAAAGAATGGTTGGACTCACCTAGATTTGCCTGACAAAAGATTCTTGGACGTGCATATATAGATAATCCGCTGTAACAGACACTAGTTGTGAAAATTGAAGCAAACTAAGCAACAGACCGCTTACCTATATATCGTCGAACATGGTGATCCAGAGCCGCTTACGTATGGAAGGCAGATTAAATCTTTCCCGTATCCGTAATACAGACGGTTGAGACTTTTATAGTGCCGTTATAACAACAACCATGAAAATTTGAATGATCAAGTGAAAAGGAGATTCCTTCTTATTGAACAATTCTTAGCATGATAGAAACACGAATATTTGACATCCTTACGTGAATTTCACCGAGTGTCGGAAAATAACAATTCAACTGTGAAACTAGGAGATGTAGTGGTTACTCTGAATTTCAATGTCGCTAACGTAATACAAATATACATCTTACAACTTTTGTTTCCTTCACAAAAGGGGTCACTGGCAATACCGATACTAACAATTTAATGTTATCCTCCGAATGTGTGAGTGTTACTTACCTGGTATGGTGTTAGTTTTTGGTAAATTGCTTTTCATAATGGCCGGCGTGGTCATTCAAATCAATGTTTGTTTCTTGTCATT